GAGGGGTGGTGCCAGAGTGGCAACGGTGCCTGGGCGCAGAGTACATATATGTTGATGGATCTCTGCAAATGGGGCGGTCAACAAAACTTTTACAAACACGCCGGGACAGGCTGGCTGGGCTGGGCCTTGTTTGCAGCGCCGGCTCCGGTCGGATTGAGCTGTGAGCGCAACGCGCCCGGAACCTCCGCCCGCTAATGCGCCCCTCTCTACCCCGCAGGTGCTGACGCCGACCAACCTCCTGTACTGGGGCCGCGCCGTGGGCGCCAACGCCACCTGGGAGGGTCCGGGCCCGTGCTGCACCGTGCCGCACGGCGGGCTGTCGCCGGCGCAGGCCGTGCTGGGCGAGCTGCTCGGCACCGCCGCCCTCCTCATGCTGTGCTGCGCCGTCTGGGACCCCAGGAACGCCACCAACACCGACGGCATCCCGCTCAAGTTCGGCCTCCTCATCGCCGGCGTCGCCATGTGCCTGGTGAGTAATTTGCCTCTTTTACTTTGCTCCAGCCAGCAGTAACATTTTGGCTCTTCTAGATGCACTCAGCCATTATACTCGTCCTAGTAGCAAAATTTATTTACCTGATTAACGGCGTACGCACGCATGCACTAGCAAATATGGCTACTAAAACAAAAAGTTCGGTTATATCATGTAGCAAAAAAATTTAAAACGCCAACCATTAATCAGCAAGCTCATTGAGCTAATTTAGCTGGCGCTTTTATTCTTTCGTGTGGTTTCGGAAGTGCTCGCCCCTAAGCGGAAGTCTGACGGAGAGGCGAAGCAGGGGTGACAGGAAGCGGAAGGGGTCTGGATGCACCCACCCCTCTCCGCCTCTACGGGCTCCGCCACGAGCGTTTACTGCGGTCAATTTCATCCCATCTCTTAACGTCGAAATATTAAGGGTGCGCTCTGCAGGAGGTGGTGGGAGAGGGGGAGCGGTACCAGGCCACGCAATCTGTCTACTGGAGAGCAGAGGAGGGAGAGAGACAGAGGGATGGGGTGCAGTGGGGAGAGTGCAAAGCGGAGGGGGTGAGTTGAGGGGGCGGTGCGGGGAGAGGGGAAAAGGGGGTAGGAAAGGGGAGGGGGGCAGCTGAGATTGGGGACACCGACAACCACTGGAGTGGGGTGGAATATATTAGAGAGTCGCGCATGAAGCCCCGAGATTCTTTGTCGTTTTCTAAGCCGCTCGGCACGAGGCCACCAGCAGCGGCAGGGTGGACCGTGGCGATAATATCGTCCTTGGGAGTCCTCCAGATGAAATATCTGTTTTAATGGGTGCTGGTGGCTAATCGCAGTGGGCCTGGCTACGTTTTAAGCCTCACCCACGATGCAGCTTCATCTTGTCCTCCGAGATTGCGAGTCCGCTCGAAGCGATGACCGCAAGCTCCCCTACTAGTCATTTTAACGAGCGTCTACGGCGACTCATTTTGAGAAATTTATACATTCCACACCACAGTGCAACCGGGCATCTTTTTTAAGGCACCTCGACGCAAACGTAAATGACGGCAATTTGTACTTCCTGGCCACGACGATACAAAGGGCGTCTGCGGGTGGCGCACGTGGCGCAAAATGAAAATACATGCGCTCGTGTGTCCACGTAGGGCCAGAGTAGGAACCTCCGCAGAGCGCCGCCAGAGCGCGCTTGCTCCCACGCCACTGGCGGCGACGGCGCGGGGTATCGGCGGGCCGCGCTAGCGGCGGCAGCGCGCGGAGTCTCACCACGGCCATCCTCTGTTGCAGGGACCGTACACAGGCGCCAGCCTCAACCCCGCCCGCAGTCTCGGGCCCGCGATCTGGGAGGGGACCTGGACTCACCACTGGGTAAGTGCACAACAACAGTTCAAGTTACAATGAATCACGTGTTCGCAGCAATTGCGACGTATTTCATGGTCTTGCTTCAGCTGTGGCAAGCCCGAAAAGAAAGCGTCGTGGCGAGCAATACTGTTCTTCTTTTATTTGAACGCATTAATATCCTGGAAGTGAACTGTGTCAGTGGCGTATTTCGCGTCTCGGTGGTTTCATACTTGACTCGGCGAAAAATGTGATATGGGGGCCTAAGCATAGCAGCGCGGCAGGGGAGGGACTGCGACGCCCTGCCGACCTGTTTGTTTACTGCAGCCATTCATTGGTCCAATTGAGCCAATACGTCACGACGCCCGCGGGGACGCCCGCAGGGGACGCAACGCCGCGACGCGTACGACGCCAACCTTGTTGATATGTCAGGACTTTGCCCCTTTCGAGCGGCTAAATTTATCGGACCCAGAAGACGAAAACAAGCGACGGGGGTTGATTGACGGGGTGCTCGTCAGGCCAGCCGGCGCCGGGCCGACCCGGGCCGAGCCTCCGCGAGAACGACTTTCTCACTAAGCCCCAGGGTCGGTCTCGTCTCAAACCCTCTCCTGTTGCAGGTGTACTGGGTGGGTCCGCTGAGCGCCGCCGTGCTGCTGGGCTACGGGTGGCCGCTGCTGTTCTCGCCAGTGGACGAGCCGGCCGCCAAGGACAAGGCGGACGTCCCGCTCACGCTCGTCTCCGGCGACGGCAAGAGGCACTCCAGGCTGGCCGACGACGACGACGCCAAGCTGGGCTATTGAGTGCGACGGACCCCACGACACACGACTACTACTGCCTTTCCTTCCTCACACTCGCCTGCCAGCGGTACAAAAAGTTGAGAGAAACGTGCGTGAGCAATCTCACCAAGAGTGGACGAAATATGGTCCTTCCACAGGGCCTGATCAAGCTCGCCGAGGTCTTGCCACTTCCGCCTCCAAGTTTAACAACGAACTGTCTCCTGTAAACGCCACTCTTGCCACAGTATTCACTACTTTAGACCGCCTTGCCTTCACACCCGCGCCTGCTGGGCTGGACGCGACGAATAAGTACAAACAACGGCTGGGCTGCCGACAACACGACCGCATACATACTGACAGCGAGCCCACATCATCAATCACAACTGATCAGAAGACAGTCAACGACTCGGCTTCTTTTGCAATTAGCACAATGTCTGTTTGTACATAAATCATTTACTTAATTTAAAATTCTTAGTAG